CTGGGTCCAGGGAGCGTCAACACTGGGTCCAGGGAGCGTCAACACTGAGTCCAGGGAGCGTCAACACTGGGTCCAGGGAGCGTCAACCCTGAGTCCAGGGAGCGTCAACACTGGGTCCAGGGAGCGTCAACACTGGGTCCAGGGAGCGTCCAGCAGCCAGTGAAATGTTAAAGGAAACCGGGAGCTTCCATTAATATTTAATTTTGGCTGCTTGGTCTGCCGTCTCTCTTTACAGCTCATAAGTGAATGTCAAGTGTCATCACTGCTGCAGTGACAGCACAGTCATCAGTTCCACTGTGGCCTCAGAACTGTCCAGTACCGATTAGGAACCAAGGCTGGGTGTTGATTAGTGGATTAGTTTTTCAACCAAACTAACTAAAATATAACTAAACTACAACTTCCAGGATAACTGCTGGGATTGACCCCCTGCCCCCTCCCCCCCCCCCCCCCTCGTGACCTTGGACAGAATCAACCCTCAATTATTTGATTCAAAGTTTAGATTCTGAACTATAATCTCTGTTAATCAGCTGTTTCCATGTTAGGTGAGTGACCGGTCGGTGCACTGATTGATGTCCGTCCATCATGGCGGCCGAACACACTGTCAGACTAATTGATGACGTCAGTCAAAGGGTCCAAATGTGGCAGTGATGTGTTCTCCGGTGCTGCGCCTCCCTCAGGCCGTCGGAGGCTCTGCTCATCCCAGGCTCATCGTTGCCTCGGTGACTGTCAGTGTACGTGATGACGTCGAATGTATATGAGCGCAGGCGGCGGGATCTCGCTCCCTTTTACCGCCATCAGAGCGGAGTGTCTTTCTTCCCAGGGACCTCATCGCTGCGCAGCGCTGTCTAAGCCCCGACCAGCCCCGACCAGCCTCCCACCGCACACAGAGGCACGGTAAGGAGCCCGGACCTCAGAAATGGCCTCCGGTCCAACGCCTCGATCCGGTCTGGTGTCAATTTAGGAGTTAAATGATGTTTGTGTGGCTGTGCGGAAAACACGGCTCGGCTTTGCTAATGCGAGTCAGACAACAGCAGCAGCAGCAGCCATCGACGGGGCTCCACCATGATGTTAACGTTACAGCGAATTAAGAAAAAAAAACGTCACACGTTTAACCCGTTATTAGTGATTAGTAGCATCTAAAAACATTGACAGAACCGGACAGACGACACCCAGCTGCTCCGGTTCTGACCGTAATGAGACGTTTGTTGACACGTGTCGTATGTCGCAAATTTTTCTGTCTTGACCTTATTTTTTTTATTTTTTATTTTATGGGGCCGTGATCTTGACATTTAGGGTGTGGAACTAAAAGAGTCTCCTCTCAGACACCAGCCCGACAGGGCGGCTTCCTCCGCCGCGTTAGCACCGGTGCTATGACACGGCAGAAGCCGGTCGAACGTGTGA